AGGTCCGGATTTCCTTCTTGCAAGTCGGCAAGGTACGTCGGAAGGGTGAGGTTTTCGTAGAAAATGACATCACGTGCTGCCACTGTTTCCATTGTGTTGATGTCGAAGATTTTCCATGTGTTGTAATGTTTCATGATACCCAATTGTAGCCCCCATTGTGCCCGTTGGGAGAATCAGCCGGCTGACATAAGTGATGAGCGATGAGCGATGATGACATCACGTGCTGGTGGTTGGGTAGCCGCATGTCATGATGTCATGATGACATGATGTCATTTTCTACGAGAAGTTGATGAGCGATGAGCGATGATGAGCGATACTGCATAAGTTGTGCAGCATGACAGCGTGGTCCATTGCTTCGGGCCACTGGTGGTTGGGTAGCCGCATGTCACGTAGCAGCTTGCACATGGTGTTTTGAAGGGTCCTGTTCATTCTTTCTACTACGCCTGGCTGATGGTGAGCGTAGGGAAGGGAGATCAGCCGCTTGATGCCTCTTTCTGCCAGGTAGTCCTTGAAACTTTGTGATTGATATTCCCCTCCTCCGTCTGACTCGAAGCTTTTTAGCTTCACTCCTGATTCTCGTTCTGCTGCTGGGAGCCAGGCGGCGAAAGCGTCGAGGGCCATGTCCTTGCTCGGAAGGTTGCAATGCCAAACGTAGCGTGTGGCGGCGTCGATGAACGTGATGACGTAATTATACGCCCCTTGTACAGGTTCGCGGTTGTACAGGATGTCGCTGTACACTTTCTCCAGAGGTGCGTATGCTGGTGCGCTTGGATTGTGGTGCGAGACGAATGGCTGGTGCGGTAAGTCTGCTTCAGGACAGGTGAAGCACGTTCCGCGGACTCGCTGGAGTTCTCTACAGTAATGAATATTTGTCGAGCACGCCTGCTTTTATCGTGTTATTTAACGTCGTGTTGCTTGGATGTCCCATTCTTGCGTGTCAGGTGCCTTCGGTGGCGCGATGTCCAGGTGAACGTCTGTACATGTCGGAGTTGGAGTAGAAGCCCGCGGTGAAGTTGGCTCTTCGGTGGACTTCTCGTGGAGTGGGGTTCAGCTGTTGCGTAGGAGTCGGTGGTGTATTGTCGACGAAGACCGGTGCCGTTGAAGGGCCAGCGATTGGTGCTGGTGTTGTTTCTGCTGCTGCCAATGTTGTCTCTGCTGCTGCCGATGTTGTCTCTGCTGCTGCCGATGTTGTCTGTGCTGCTGCCGATGTTGTCTCTGATGCTGCCGATTAAATTGTTGCTAATGCTCTCGTTCTTTCTGTTTCCGGTATGGTGTGTGAATACCAGAATCCTCCAGGACTGAAGTCGGGGTCGAGATCTTGTGGGTGTGTCCAGGAGGTGAAGTTGACGATGGCGTCGCCGTCGGCGGTGCCCAAGTCTGGAAAAAAGTCGAGGACGAAGACGTTGTTCTTCAATACCGCCTTCCCGATGTAAAGTCCTCCTCTCCCGTGATACAGCTTAAATTCCTGGGTGGTGCTGTCTGCTTCGAGGTGAATGCCCTTCGCCATGAGCTGATTGACACTTAGTAAGTTATAGCCGAGTCCCTCCGCGATTAAGTCCTTGGACATTTGCAAGATGACGTTGGTTTCTCGTGACTGAAGTTGCACAATCCCCTGTCGTCGTATACGCGGGTTCTGGTTGTTGGCTATGGTGATGACGACTTCGCGCTGAAGTTGATGTTCCCGTTGAACGAAGCGACCCGAGGAGCACATGTGCTGTCCGCAACAACTGTCCAAGAACCAAGTGTCTTTTCCGGACGGCTCGCTTTGGGCGATGGCTGTATACGTTGGGTTCGGCTCCAGTAGTTCGCGTCGCGGGGTGCTTTCGTCGAGTTGTTCTTCTGGTGAGTAGTGCGGGGGTGACTCGGTGATGCAGGAATCCGTCAATCTTGCCATGCAGCTGACGATGTTTCTTGCTCCTTGTGCAGGTTGTGTCGGCGATGTTGTTGAAGACTGCGTCTGACTTGTGGGGTGCGCCTGTGTGGATGCCACGTTGACGTTTCGGCGGCGTTGGCTGCTGTCGCTTCGGGCAGTGTGTGCGAGGGTGTCCTCACGTCTTGCAAAGATGACAAAACGGAGGTACGGGTTTTGGTTGATGCCGATTGTTGTTGTTGTAGCGCCGTTGGGTGTGGAATGAAAATTCGGTTACTGACGTTTTCTTCTTGTGCCGCTCCTCATGCAGGTCCATGTCTTGTTGCTCAACGTGAATCTCGGCGCAGAGTGCTGCTTCGGAGATTTTCCCGTGGGCTCGGAGAATGGCTCGAGTGGAGCGCCAATGAGGACCGAGGCCGCCGATGATGACTGTCACGAAGGCTTCTTCAGATATTGTTCCTCCGCACCGAAGGAGTCTGTCGCGCAAACCGTGACAACGGCTGACATATGCCATTCCCTTTTCGCCTGGTTTCATTTCCACTGTTGTCAGTTGTGCCATAAGTCGACTCTGATTGACGCTGTTTGTTGCTTGATACAGGTTCTTCAGGTGGCTGTACGCGAGCTCGGCGGAGTTTCTGTATCTGTGATAAGACCGAATGTTCTGCTGCTCGTTCGGCGTTATGTTTCGTAGCAGAATTGTGTACGCCATCAGCGACTGATATGTATACTGTTGCTTATCGTATTGCGTCCTGTATGTTGGACATGGCAGGGACCCGTCGAAGAATCAGAGAATCTGCGCCCCTTCCATCATCAGCTCAAATTCAAACGACCAGGTAAAGAAGTTCTTCCCGTCGAATGGTCTTGATGTTTGCAGTTTTAGGACGTGCGCGAACTGCGACTGAACTTGAAGTGCATCCAATGTTTTCTCTTGTCCAGGTGAAGGCTGCATATGCGGCATGAGGCTGATGGAGCCGCGCTGGGGCTCGTACAGAGCAAAGGTAGGTAACTGCTGCTGATTTCCGCGCGCATAGGACGAACCGTCGAGGCTCATCGGTGTAACGTCATTGTTGTTGTTGCTGTTGTTTGATTGCGCAGGTGCCGTTTGCTGATGCTGCTCGTAGAAGGACATGAAGGAGAAGAATTTCTCCATCATACTTGGGTCGAAGCCTGTTGCTTGGTTCGCAGGAGTCTCAGTAGACTCAGCTGCTGGTCTTGTTGCTGTACCTCCCTCTATCTACAGGCCAGAGGCTGGAGGTGGAGTAGGAGTAGTGCCGGGAGAACCGTTAGAGGAACTTCTCTCCTTCTGTGTTGCCATGCCTTCTGATGTTGTAGGTGTCTTGGAAGTAGTTGAGTTTGCCCTGACAGCTCTCATACCATGTTGGGCTGAGAAAAGCCCTTAGGATCTTTGCAAGGCTAAACTCTGGGTAGGAATGTTGTAGTTGCGGAATTGTTTAATAACAAGTGTTGAACCACCTTGCGCTAGTATGTGAAGGCAAGATAGATTAATTATAAGAAAATAATACAAGTCTTTTATAAGATTACAAGGAATATGAAAGGGTGTAACTAATAACTGTTTTACTGTTGCTGTTGCGGTTTGATACAGTGACGAGTCATGCAACTACTCAGTATCGAGTCAGTTGTTTATCCTTGCTGTCGCGCTGTATCTGTCAAGTCAAAGGTCGGCGACCTTTGACCTTCGTGTAACCTCCAGCAGTTACATTTTCTGTCAACCTCCGATGGTTGACTCGCCGTTGCTTCGTTGTAATTCGCTTCGCTTGCAGTTCAGTGTTTCGACACATCAGAAGCGTTTAAATCACTTTGTTTCCAACACTCTCCTCGTGCTGTTTCAAGCCATTGGAACTCCTTCTGCCTCGCAAGTGTCTCCCAGCTGCAGCGGCTCCTGTGGGCCGTGGAATCAACGTCGTCCCGTCCGCGCGACTTTTCACGATCGATCTCTGACTGCTTGGTTTCCGGATGCGAGACGGCAGCAGGTGTGGTGTAAGTACTAAGCTTGTCATTGCTTTCCCCAAGCTAGCTGCTACGGCCGGCGTCAGAGAGTCTTCAGCCGGCGATGGCGATGTTTCCGATTGCAAAGTCACCGATTCCGACAACACCGGCTCGCACGTCAATGGTTCCGACTTCACCGGCTCCGACGTCGTCGGTTCGCCGGACATCACTGGTTCCAACGGTGCAGCTGGCACGGATGCCACCGGATCTGAGGATGACGAAGCGGACGCCGTCGGATCCCATGTCGCGGAGTCGTGCGTCTCCTTATACACCATTTCTAGCGATGCAGCAGCGTCGGCCACACTGGCTTCGCTGCGGCTGGTGTCGTCGACGCTCTCAGTGGTAGATCCAGCGCAGGAGAGCATCGTGTCGCTGGCATCGCTGCAGCAGGGCGTCACGCGGAGGCTGCTAACCTTGCGGAGTTTGCTCGCTTTGCTGTAGGAGCTCCGAGGCGGCAGCGATGGCTGCGTGGGCTTGTTGCTATCGAGGCTCTTCCAGAAGCTAAGAGCATTGAATTACGACGGGTAGTCAGAAACTGAGGTCATAGTGCGGATTCTTCACAAGAGGAGCAAACGTTGAGTGATTCTTACCGTCATCGCCCAGATATAAGACATATATGTCTTATCTCGTAAGCAGGTTTTGTCAGGCTCGGAAGCAGGGTTTTTCAGGCTCGGGAGCGAGAATGGCGCGAGGTGTTCTTGAGACCCTGACGTGGCAAACTCTGTGCTCATCTGCCCAGGCAAAGATCACGTGGCTGCCCAAGTTCAATTTTTTGGGCCCGCGCTCCTACGAGCATTTCGGGTTACTACACAACCATATTAAAGATTGCCCGAAACAATGTTTCTACAGACAGCAAAACTGTTAATGACCGCGGCACGTGTCGTCGACTCGACGTCTATAGAGCCGATGGTGCCAGATCTGCCAGTTTCTACTCTTTCGACGGCGTCAGGTGCCGTTACGACTGATTCGATCGCTTTAGATGCGAAGGACCTCGTCAGATATAATTACGACCAATTTGACGGCGTCAGATGCAGTTACGACTGATTTGACGGCGTCAGATACATTCCCGGCCAATTTGACAGTGTCAGGTGCAATAACGGCCGGTTCGACGGCGTCAGATGCAATGTCGTCGGAATCGGATCCGCCGTGGTCACATCCGCCGGCGTCTTCAAGGCGGAAATCGTCAGCCGCCGCTGCACCGCTGCTGTCGCGCATCCCAAAAGCGAGCTGCAAGGTAACGAGTAGGAGAGGTGGGTTGGGGGCGACGCTGATCTCACGACCCGCCGCTGCAGGTGGAGGTGGTGCTGGGGAGAGGCACCTGCAGAGCAGCGGCAGCAGCGTGTCGCACGTGAGCAAGAGCGCGCATGGCGTGAGTCGTCCAGCTGCAAGCATTCGGCCCTCAAGAGCGCCCAGGTTTGTGTTGACAGCAACTTCGCGACGTCCCTGGCGCCTCCTAACCCTTGCATCTGCTGAAAAAAAAAGGGAAAAAAAAAAGAAAATGAGAAAATAAATCAACAAATAAGGATGTGAGCATATGGAGAAGGAAACAAAGAGATGGGAATCTTCGTTGTGAAGGCACGGGACACAGCATAACGCATGCAAAGAGCAGCAATGGGGGAGTTCATGGGGAGGTTGGAGGGCTATTGGGGGGTGTGGTTGAGATGGTACCTTTTTTCACCCTGCTTGGCAGGGTGTTTGGGATTGAGGAATGGTTGAAGGTGGGTGGACTGACACTTGTTGCTATGCTGCTGTGGTATAGAGACGTAAACTTGAAAGTAGTCTAAAGTGATCAAACTCAAGGGATGGCACTGGCATGGCTGCTGCGCTCTCAAGGGATGGCACTGGCATGGCTGCTGCGCTCTCAAGGGATGGCACTGGCATGGCTTCTGCGCTCTCAAGGGATGGCACAGGCATGGCTGCTGCGCTCTCAAGGGATGGCACTGGCATGGCTGCTGCGCTCTCAAAATATGGCACTGGCATGGCTGTTGCGCTCTCAAGGGATGGCACAGGCATGGTTGCTGCGCTCTCAAGGGATGGCACTGGCATGGCTGCTGCGCACTCAAGGGATGGCACTGGCATGGCTGCTGCGCTCTCAAGGGATGGCACTGGCATGGCTGCTGCGCTCTCACGGGATGGCACTGGCATGGCTGCTGCGCTCTCAAGGGATGGCACTGGCATGGCTGCTGCGCTCTCAAGGGATGGCACTGGCATGGCTGCTGCGCTCTCAAGGGATGGCACTGGCAGGGCTGCTGCGCTCTCAAGGGATGGCACTGGCATGGCTGCTGCGCTCTCAAGGGATGGCACTGGCATGGCTGCTGCGCTCTCAAGGGATGGCACTGGCATGGCTGCTGCGCTCTCAAGGGATGGTACAGGCATGGCTGCTGCGCTCTCAAGGGATGGCACTGGCATGGCTGCTGCGCTCTCAAGGGATGGCACTGGCATGGTTAATGTGGATGTTTATGTAGATCGTCCTAGATTCATGTAGGGGTGTTTGTGATTCTGAAAATCAGTATCTAGACTGTATGGTTCATGATTGCATGTGTTTGTTTTGGAGTATGTTTTGCTTGTGTTCTAGTCTCAAATGGGCCATCGGAACGAGCAAGCACTAGGATGCATGGCAATGTGCTGATATGGGTAGGTGTCAAGAATGAAAGTGTTGCATTCACAATGTTGGTTGGGGTACATAAATCTAACCTTAAGAATTGTACCCCCTATGACACACATCACTAAGACTACAACATTTGACACACCCCCACAGTCTAAGTGAGGGGTGTCAAGCAAAACCATAAATGTACGATCACAAGACCAGTCACAAAGAAACAAAGCTCAAGGTGGATCACAACGCACCACACACTCTGAGCACAAATAAAAGCCATAAGGCCAGTCCAAGCGTTCACAAAGATATATAAGCAAAGCGTACAAGCAAAGCAAGTAGAGAACTCAAATCCACACACGAGAACCTATGTCAACAAGGCCTAACTGCACACAGCACCTCTGGTGGTCACAAGGCGGAAGCGCCTTGGTGAAGATGTATGCAGTGTTGGCCTCGGACTCCACAAACTCAAAACGAGCCTGTCCACGTCTCTGCAACTCTCGCAGAAGAAGGTATCTGATCTTAATGTGCTTCACTCTGCTCTCCAGTCGCGGCTCTCGACAAAGGAGAATCGACGCCTTGTTGTCAGTTAACAAGGTCGTTGCAGAGTTCGGCTGCTCACCAAGGTCGGCGAGCAAGAAGGTCAACCAACGCAACTCCTGTGCCGCCATGGCACCAGCGCAGATCTCAGCCTCAGCGGTAGAGGTCGAGACCGAGGAGGAACGCGTGGACCTCCACAAAATAGCTCCAGAACCCAGGCTGAAATAGTACCCCTGAGTAGACCTGTGACTCTCAGCCTCGTCAGCGTAAGAAGAGTCACAGTGACCAGTAAGTACGACGGACTGCTGCCCTCCAAGAACCAGCCCCACGCCTGATGTCATCGCTAGGTACTTCGCCACTCTCACAGCTGCTGTCCAGTGAACAGGACGGTGTCTCCCTAGTGCAACAAAGCGAGCAAGGATGCTGAGAGGGAAGGCGAGGTCCGGGCGAGTACAAGTCATCAGGTACATGAGGTAGCCCACCAGCTCTGCGTAGGGACCACTAGGCTTAAACGGCTCGTCAGGAAAGGGTCCAGTAAAGTCTGTGGTCAACAGCAAGAGGTGTGCGCTATACTGTGGAGTGCTGAAGCTCGAACCGCTGAAGGACCTGCTGCACCATGTGTGACTGTGAGAGTGTAATGGTGCGAGCAGCTCTGTCCCTGGTGATCTGCAGGCCCAGGTAGTGGCGCAGCTCACCAAGGTCAGTGCACGTGTGTCTCTTCTGCAGTTCGGACTTCACGTCTGCAAAGGCAACCCTGTCAGAAGTGGCGAAAACCAGGTCGTCGACGTAGAGAAGAACAAAGAACGGTGTGGAGCCATGACGAACGAACGGCGACGAGTCGGCAGAAGACGGCTGTAAACCAAGGTCAGACAGGGTAGAACGAAGGTGTTGTGCCACTCACGAGGAGCCTGACGGAGACCGTAGACCGGTCGCCTCAGCCTCCACTGGGTCCCAGGAGGGAAAGTGTCAGTGAAGGCAGAGGGACAACACAGCCAGACCTCCTCGTGTAGGCTATCCTGAAGGAAAGCAGTGGAGAAGTCGAGGGAGTGTAACTCGTAGTCTCTCTGTGCTGCTACATGTAGTAACACCCGAAGAGTGGTCATCTTCAGGGTAGGCGCGAAGGTCTGAAAGAAGTCAACTCACTCGCGCTGAGTGAAACCTCTAGCCACGTAGCGTGCCTTGGAGACCGGAGGAGATCCCGGTAGCCATTTCACCCTGTAGATCCACCTGCCATCGACTACGGTCGCCCTAGGGGGGGAAACCTCGTCGACGTAGGTGCCAGTGGATCTGTAGGAGGCCATCTCTGCGTCCATGGCAGCTCTCCACTCAGAGGCCCAAGGCCCTGACACTGCCTCAGCATAAGTGAGAGGAGTCGGTATGTCAAGGGCGTCAGAGTCTCCCTCAGGGGCGAGCAGCATGGCACAGAGATGAAGGGAAGCGGCTGCCAGGAACTCTAGCTTAAACTGCCTGTCCTCTAGGGCGTTACAGCCAAGGGTAGACTCACCCCCGACGGCCAGAGGACTGGTAGGAGGAGCAGCCACAACACTGGTGGCGTAGTCAAGGCGGCGAGTAGAGGCAAACTCAGTGACTGCGGCAGTAAGAGCGGAGACAGAGGACAAAGAGGCACGAGGGTGGGTAACAAGAGAGGCGAGAACACGAGAGAGAACAGGACGGTATGCGTGGTAGTAGTCAGTGATAGGAGTTGAGAGGGAAGCAGTGAGGGCCGACTCAAGGGGAGACGGAAGCACAGACGGTGCGAACGAGGCGGACTATGATAGAACAGAACTGTGTGAAGGTCAGTGAGGGGAACAGGGGATGAGGGACGAGCACGAGGAGAGCAACGAGAGGGCCAAACATGCGAAGGAGGAGGAGACAGCGGAGGCGGAGAACGAGTGACAACAGCTGGGGAGGAGTTAGGAGGAGGAAACGTGGGACCGTAGACAGGAGGAGAGGGGGAAGCGACAGGGGAGACCGAGGGTCCGAAGACCGGAGGAGGAGGCGGCTGCTGCTGCTGCTCCTGCGGCGGCTGCTGCTGCTCCTGCTGTAGCTGCTAATGCTCCTCCTGCTGCTGCGGCGGCTCCAGCTGCGGCTGCTGCTGCTGCTCCTGCTGCTGCTGCTCCTCCAGCCGCTGCAACTCTAGCTCCTCTCTCTCCAACTCCAGCTGCTCCTCATGGGCATGGCGAACACGAGCCTGGAGCTGGGTCAGGTAGGGGTGGGGGGGAGGAGTAGTGTCCGGGGCCGAGGCAGCCCCAGGACCGCCGTCCAAAGCACCCAGCGCACCACCCCCATAGTCAGCACCACCAACCGCAACACGGCCAGGCTCACCAAGACCCGGAGTGGGCGCACCCGCACCCCCAGACGTAGCACCCCCAGGGTCAGCTCGACCAACACCAGCTCCCGGAAGACGAGAGTCGCCTGCAGCCACGGGCTCAGCTCCAACTCCAGCACCCCCAGAACCAGAACCCGGCACGGGGATGCTCTCAGCACAAACTCTAACTCCTCTAGAGCTAGCACCTGCAGGGTCCTCTCCACGAACACCTGCTCCCGTAGGGTCTGCAGTAGGCTGCGAGGAGGACTGCGGGGAAGGAGGCCGCACCTGAGGGGCTACCAAGGGGGGAGGGGTAGCGTGGGACACACCTGACGGGGCTGGACCAGGGGGGGGAGGCTGTACCGGGGGAGCAGGAGGGGGAGCGGAAGTCAGGAAGAGAGGGGGAGGAGGAACCGGGAGACCTCGGCAGGGGTACCTTACGTAGTAGGGGACGGACTCGTCGAAACTGACGTCACGGGAGTCAAAGAACCGGTGAAGGGGAGGGTGGTAAAAGGTGAAGTCAGAGGAGTCATCTGGGAAACCAAGGAAGACACAGGGAACGACGCTAGGCGAGATCTTGTCCGCGGAGGTGTCGCGAACAAGAGCCAAGCAACCCCAGACACGAAACCGCGACGCAACACCAGGGGACTCGGTCCAAAGACTAGTCGGTGAAACCTCTGGCCAAGAGACACGTGGCCAGAGGTTCAGCTGGTGAGCGGCGTACCTAACCGCGTAGGGCCACAGAAAATGGGGGGAAGGGGCGTGAGTCAAGGAGGTGCGGGCGATCTCCATGACCAAGCCTATGCGGCGCTCAGCAACCCCATTCTGCTGTGAGGACTCTGGAAGCGTCTAGGACTGAAGAATGCCTTGTTCGAGACAGAAACTAGCGACAACGCGGGAGCGAAACTCACCCTCGCGGTCGGAGTGAAGACAACTGACACGACGACCACGAGTGTCCTCTATGGTAAGCAACCACCTGATCAGCGTAGAACTCACCTCAGACTTCTTCGTCAGGGGGAACACTGTGGTGTAGCGGGAGTAGTCGTCAACGACCACCAGAAAGAAACGCTCACGCTCAGGGCCAAGGCGAGAAGCGGGGCCCCAGACGTCCAAGTGGAGTGTCTAAAATGGCTCGGTGGCCGGACGAAGGGAGGAGTGAGGGGTGGCATGCAGCCGACCCTCGACGCAGGGACCGCACGGTGGTGCAAGCGAAGGCGGCAACGACGGCAAGACACGCGGGAGGCCTAAGACAAGACGATGACTAGACATAGCGCGCAGACAAGGAAGGGACGGGTGCCCCATCCGGTGGTGCCACAGAACCGTGGGGTGGGCAAGCGACCGGCAGGAGCAAGACGCAGCAACTGGACCAGACACGAGAACCTGACCAGACACAGCTACCTGGGGGGACGCGACAACCTGGTGAGACGCAAGGACCAGACGGGGGGCAGGGACAGGGAACGGAGGCAGTAGCCGCTGCTGCTTCTGCTGCTGCACACGGGGGCCAGTGTGAAGTGTGTAGAGACCGGAGCCCGGTTCAGCGGTAAAGGTGGCGAGAGGCGCGTACCTGTCCCCGTCAACACAAACCGTAGTCTCGCCAGAAGGCTCAATCCACACACCCACGTGCTGACTCACGAGCGGTCTCACGCCCACCAAGTTCCTTGAGAACGAGGGGAGGTGGAAGCCGGTCAGAGAACCGGAGGGGACAGCCGGGCACGGAAGCGTAGTAGTGTAGCGAGCAGTGACTGGTCCCGAAGTGCGATCAGCCAGTGCTACAGAGACCGACATGGGAAGCGGGGTAAGTGTCGTGCGGTCGCGGAAGAAACAACGCGAAGCTCCGAAGTCCAGAGTGAAAGAAATCAAAGCGTCCTCCGGAGCAGCTCCTAGACTAGTGTCTACACGAGTACTTACACTAGGAGCAGGTAGCTTAGCAAGTCTAGCACCTAAGCTAACAACACTCGAGTAAACAGAGTCAGCAGCACTAGAGTCAACAACAGCATACATAGCATGAGGAGTTTCTAAGAGATCAACCAACTGAGAAGCCGAC